CCTGACTAAACTATTGGGACCATATTTTCCAGATTGCGGCTACTCCAATATTTTGAGAGTTAGGAATCCAAATCTGCGGTATGTTTATCCAGAGAAAGTACGTTTTTGTGTCTGATTTTGTAATTTGAAATATCGTCTACATTATCAAGTTAGCTTCATTAGCTGCTTCTTGGCTGCATTAATTAATTAATTAGTTTAATAATTACGTTAAGCCCTCAGAACCATTAAGAATAAGTGTTATTGGGTGAAATTTCAATTATAAATCAAAACGCTCAATTTAATTTATTTATTCATTTGTTTTTTTGGAGCAGTGTTCATAGAACTCTTGCATGGACATGCTTTTAAAATTTTAATGAAATAGGATGAAAATCTGAAAATTTATCAATACCAATGTGGCCAAGAAATGATGGTTTCTTTATATACAGCGACTTAGAGGGTATAGTTTGTCTATGGTAAGAACTCTCCCAGCCACAAAGTCTGAGGCCATCTGCAGCAAAGGAAACAAGAATAGCACATTTCAGGGAGGATAGTTTTTCTTCACTCTGGGGCTAACACAATAGACCGAAGAAAAACATCCCCTTTCTATCGCTGAACCGAGTCAAAACCTGCCCTAAATATTTGAAATAGTTATGCCTCATTACCATAGTCAACGCTACTGGTCCTGGTGAATGGCTAGGGGAGTTCTTACTTAAGACAAACTATAGTAGGTTCGCGCTCTGAAGTCAATAAAGAACCTCAGCGATTGCAGACAAACATCATCGAACTACATTCAAACGACACGATGTCATGCAGTTACTGAAAACACTGCTTTGAGAAAAAGTTCTCTTAAATTTGTAACGGATTATACTCGCCAACATGAGGCATCTTTTTTTTAATATAAGATTTAGAAAAATCGGTTAAACAATGAAAAACAATTATAAATGATGATAGCGGTGCCTTGAGCAATAACAAGGGGAATATTTTCAGCAACCTTAATGAAGTATAAATTGAATTATGTTTCCTTTCAAACTGAACCATAGTATCATGTAATCAGGTTTAAGAAGCACAATATTATGGTCTTCTCTGCACTTCATTAAGATTGCAGGTAATTTTTAATTTCACCATAGTTCAAAACTGTTCTAACGAATTGACATCTAAAAGTGTGCATGATATGAGTTTTAGCTAACATTTTAAGAGGAATTAATAACGCTGAAGAAAATTTCATGACAAATTCAATTTATTCCTCATTGTTATTTTAAAGTTTAGAAAAAAAGTGAATTCAGGGAAAATGCTGAAAGGAAAATACAGTTTCAAATGCTGAAAAAACGTTTTAAAGTTTATATTATTATACTAGAGAGTTTAAATTTTAAAGTTTAGAAAAAAAGTGAATTCAGGGAAAATGCTGAAAGGGAAAATACTCAGTTTCAAATGCAGAAAAAATGTTTTCAAAATGGTGAAAATGCAAACAAATTATTGTAGGATTATTTTCCCAATGCGTAATCCAGCCATAATTTGTTTGCATTTTAAAACTTTTTTTTTAAGCATTTGATACTTCATGGTTTTGTTCTAGGTTTAACTGAACTATTTTCAAAATTTAAATTCTGAGCCGCAGTGGCTCAGGGGATAGAGCGAGGCGACTCAGATTTGAATCCTAGCGGTGGTTGGTTGATACGAATTCAGCTCCCGGCTCGCACGTGTTGACTTAGAATATCATGAGTGACAGGTGAATCATTGTTTAGAATCCCCTTCCCGTCGGGATAACCATGGGAGTTTTTTTCTCTCCATGTAACGCGAATGCGGATTAGTTTTATCAAGCAAAGTCCTCCTTTAATGCCAGTTTGTCCCAATACTTCATTCCGGGAGAGTTTCCTTGTCTTCTGGGTTTGGCTCAAAATTTCAAATCTACAGAATTGAATATTGATGGTCGTAAACTCAGAATTGGATCAGCTGTTCATCACCGGCTATAAATTAAAATAAAACTTAAAACTTTAAATTATCGATGTTGAGGAAAGAGAATTTGCCATGAAAGGTTTCTCCAGCGGTTAGCATCCTGTTAAGGAACATATTCTTCTTGTGTGCACAATATAGAAATATTTACATAAAAACAAATTAAAAAGGATCTACAACAAAATGGCGAAAGAGTTCATACTGATTTCAATCTATCTTGTCTTAGAATGTTTCCTGCGATTCACTGATTTCAACTTAAGTCAAGTGCTTTCGATGAACTTTGCCGAATTGGAAACTAAAGAAATCACTACTCGGAAATATATTATTTGGCGATAAATCACCTCCTTCGAGTTACGCCTTCTATAAAAGGGTCGTTGCAGCTCTTTTATAACAAATTCAGATACCTTATTTTTTAAAAAAAAAAAATGTTTTCCAACCCTTTTGATACCAGGGTCGTGCCAGACAAGACACCAAGAATAATAAAAGATGGACGGTTGCATTACGCTTTCTCTGCTGAATTTGATTGTGGCAACCAGACGTCTGAAGCTTAATGAGATTTAGTCTGGTTTTTCGTTATAAGTCGAACGGCGGTACTCCCAGAAAATCACCCCGACATAAACATAATTTCATGCATTCTATTCTTTGAGTGCTATATCATATGTTAATGAGTTCTAACGAAATTATTTGGTGGTAATTTTGTCCCAATTTACTAAGCACGACAACAAACGGCTTGAACGTCTGGACGGTTATTTCTCCAATACAAGAAAAAAGTAATTACATTCACTGCAAATTTACTCAGCGAAATAAGATACATAACATCAGAACTTTTGTTATATACGTGCCGAGAAGGACCTCTAGATGCCTTAATAAGTCAACAGCGAACTCGTCAAACTGCATATACCATATACCATATTTTACCATGTACTAAAATGAAAGAAAACGAGTAAAGGTCTACACTGTAAAAAAATTCCGGATCAAATAACGGTAAAAAGTATCAGCACTCATCTGCTGGTACTTTTTTCCGTAAATTCGATTTTTACCGGAGCATGTTACGGAATAAAAATATCTGATAAAAACTAATTTTTACAGTAATAGTTACCGTAAAATGGCGGAATCACTCTAATTAAATAAATATTACTATATAAATTAAGGTATAAAATTTTACGGTGAAAATGGATTTTACGGATGATGCACCGAAAGTGCCGGTACTTAACGTAATTTGATACGGAATTTTTTACAGGTATTCTAATCAAATAAGATTTTCCAATTTATGTACTAGGTTAATTGATCTAATTAAATAAATATTACTGAAAAAATTATGGTGTAAAATTTTACTGTAAAATTAGATGTATACTGTAACATTCATTAAATAAGGTTTGCCCATTTATGCATCTAAATTAATTAAGCTAATGAATAAATATTACTGTAAAAATAACGCTGTAAAATTTTGCGGTATATATGGATTTTATGGTTGATACGCCGGTACTTTATACTGTGATTTGATCCGGAACTTTTTGCCATGTACTGTATATTTCATTAAATGAGGTTTGTTTATTTAACTATCTAAATTAATTGATCTAATTGAATAAATCTATATATATAAAAATCTCTTGTCACAGTTTTAGTGGTTAAACTCCTCCTAAACGGCTGGATCGATTTTGATGAAATTTTATATGTATATTGAGTAGGTATGAGAATAGGTTTATAACTAATTTTTTTTTCATTTTTTGGACAGATTTAACGTATATTTTAAATATATCTTTATTTAATCATATTCCAATCCAAACTAGACATAGAAACCTGATAAATCAAAAAGTAATATTCACGCACGTTGCAACAATTCACTTTAAACTCTAATACTTATGCTCGCCCTTAAAAGAAGAGAATCAAATATATTTGCAAGTATGTGAATAAAGGCAGTATTTCGAGTTGAAAATACCAATGTGACCGCTTTTCCAGTGAATAACAACGACGAAATAACGCTTTACCAAATTGGCCGGTACATCAGCTCCAATGAAGCTGTTTGTCGCAACTTTGGATTCCCTATTCATGATCCTACCGTTAGTCATTTAGCCGTTCATCTTGAAAACGGTCAGCGCGTATATTTCACGAACGAGACAGCGATTGACAGAGCTATAAATCCACCAAGAACTACACTCACCGAATTTTTTGAATTGTGTAATCGTGCTCATGCTTTTGGTGCTTTTGCACGGACATTACTTTACTCAGAAGTACCACACTATTTCATATGGTCTCAAACAAAAAAATGGATNACACTCACCGAATTTTTTGAATTGTGTAATCGTGCTCATGCTTTTGCACGGACATTACTTTACTCAGAAGTACCACACTATTTCATATGGTCTCAAACAAAAAAATGGATACCCCGCAAGCAAGGCACACCGGTTGAAGCATGTCCCGGTTTATTCAAATCAAACGCCTTGGGGAGAGTATTTACAGTCAATCCAAGGCAGACTGAGTGCTTTTATCTTCGACTGTTGTTGGTTAATGTCACCGGCTCATTGTCATTTCGCGATATACGTAAAGTCGATGGGCATCAGCATCCAACGTATAAAGATGCATGCCTTGCACTCGGCTTGCTGGAAGATGACAACCAGTGGGAATGTATGCTTGCTGAAGCAGCATTGAACTGTACTGCTAAGCAAATTCGTGTACTATTCGCTATAGTATTAACTACATGTTTCCCGGGCAGAATAGAAACTTTATGGGATAATCACAAAGATTCGATGACTGATGATATACTGTATCACCATCGCACACGTTGTAACGATCTAACGATAGCATTCAGCGATGCTATGTACAATGAAGCACTGATTGCTATTGAGGATCTTTGCATTACTATTGCCAACTTGCCTCTCAGTCATTTCGGTATGCTTTCGCCAAATCGAAGTGCATCTGATTTTTTAAACAATGACATGAATCGTGAACTTCATTACAATACAGTAGAAATGGCAGCTATTGTGACTCGCAATGTTCCACTGATGAATGAGGAACAAAGGAACATATATGACCGCATTATGCTCGCAGTTTCGGCAGGTCAAGGTGGGTTTTTTTTTTGGAAGCACCAGGTGGAACTGGCAAAACATTTATTATTTCGCTAATTCTCGCTGAAATACGATCAAATAATGGCATCGCGTTGGCCGTTGCATCATCTGGCATTGCGGCAACTTTATTGGATGGAGGCAGAACAGCTCATTCAGTATTTAAGCTGCCACTAAATATTCAAAACAACCCGGACGCAGCGTGCAGCATAAAAAAGCAATCGTCTATGGCCACAGTGTTGAAACACTGTAAAATTATCATCTGGGATGAATGCACAATGGCACACAAACATTCGCTTGAGGCGTTGAATAGGACATTGAAAGATATAAAGAACAATGACAAATTATTTGGCGGCACTCTGCTACTCCTTTCAGGTGATTTCAGGCAAACACTTCCCGTCATTCCGCGTTCAACGTACGCTGATGAGATCAATGCTTGCTTGAAATCATCTCCACTGTGGTATAATGTTGAAAAAGTTCAACTAACAGTAAATATGCGAGTCCAAATGCTTCAGGATCCATCTGCTGAAACATTCTCAAAACAATTGCTAGATATCGGTGATGGAAAAGTTACCAAGGATGAGACAGGATGCATAAAATTACCGGAGGATTTCTGCACAATCATTGATTCAAAAGATGCTCTCATTAACCTTATATTTCCCGATTTACACACGCAATACATTAATCATGAGTGGCTTGCAGAAAGGGCGATTTTAGCAGCAAAAAATGTGGACGTCAACGAATTGAATCTGAAAATACAACAGTTATTGCCAGGTAACATGGTGACATACAAATCCGTTGATGCAGTTTGCGATCCTATGGAAGCTGCATATTTTCCAACAGAGTTTTTAAATTCATTGGATTTACCAGGCATGCCACCGCATAATTTAGTACTTAAAGTTGGATCTCCTGTTATTTTGCTTCGTAATTTGAACCCACCACAGCTGTGCAACGGCACGCGATTGGTCGTTAAAAAATTAATGAACAACGTTATCGAAGTCATTATTTTAAATGGAAAATTCCGGGGTGAAAGTGTATTACTTCCACGAATCCCTATTATACCCACAGATGTGCCAATTCAATTTAAACGCATTCAATTCCCCATTAGATTGGCATTTGCAATGACTATTAATAAATCTCAAGGCCAAACAATGTCTGTTTGTGGCTTAGATTTGAGCACACCATGTTTTTCACACGGACAATTATACGTGGCATGCTCTCGAGTGGGTAAACCATCCAGTTTATTTGTGTTAGCAAAAGACGGAATGACAAAAAATATTGTACACTCCATTGCACTAAGAGATTAATATTGTTTACTAATATTTTCAGAATTAGTTGTATATATAATTTATAAAAAAAAGTTACAATAAATTTAAAAAATTATTATTTGGTGTGTTGTTATTTTCACCTTCCGTCATCGTTCACAGCGCCCCACTCACATACCACATACGCACACACTTACAATAAATAAGATATATTTTCATACTCTAGAAATAAATCATATGGCAAAACAACGTTTGCCGGGTCAGCTAGTATTACTATAAAAATTACGATTTACACTTTCGTTCGTTGGATACTTACACATTTTAGTTTAGATTTGTACTCTGTAAAAAATGTTAGTGTATGCGTTAGTAATGTTAGTGTAACACTAAAAATGGGGCCAACTACTTTACATTGAAGTGGTGTTGTAAAACATAACTCTTATGTTTCACACACCAAGAGACATGGATAGTTAGTTCCTGGTGCAGGGGCTGGATGTTTTAAACCAGTGGTTTGAAGTAGCGCATTACAAGTAGTGAAACTTTTATAGTCGCTACTTTATCTTAGTTGGTAGTGTAGAGTGCTACTTTTTTTAAAAGAGTAGTGTAGTCAGTAGTATGATACAAAAAAAAAAAAAAAATAGCAGTTTGTAACAATTTCTGCTAACTACTTTTTACATTGGTTTAGTATATGAATCGGACTCTAACACTAATTTTTCTGATTTGATGGGTCGCGAATCTGTCTAAGGACGAAATTTTGAATGCCTCTGTGAGTTAACAGGAATTTCGAGTCAACTAAGCTAGCCATTTAACATAGTTTTTTTTTTTTTTTTCATCCAAAATTCCTATTTTGTTTGAAAGTAATTGCAATTTTAAATGCTTTTTGCAAGTTTTTTTTTATTTATTTAATTTTTTTAACGTTTAATTTATCGTCAAAATCTATAAGACATAGAAATTTGAAAATATGAAGGAGTGAGAAAAAAAGTATTTGGAGTACGGCGGAATAAAAAAATATTTTAGATTTGACAATGTGTTCGAGAGTTATTAACTTTTAAACTTTTAGTAAAAAAATGAATTAAAACAAAACCATGTTGGTTGATCTACTGTCTCCTGAATTGTTTACTGAGTTGACATTTGACGTGATGAAAGGACCATTTTGCATAATTTTCGAAATTTCTATTTTTTTGAAAGTATTTGCGAAAATAGTGTTTACCTTTTTACGATTTTTTCAGTCTTTTTGTTTTAAGTATTTGTCTACTCTTGTAGAAAATTTATTTTTCCCGCGCGATCTTTATTTCTTTATTTTATAAGATCGCGCTCGAATAGATCGTATAAAATAAAAACTAGATTTTAATCAAAAGTAACAAAAAAGTAAGAGAAATTACGTGTGGCCAGATATAAATCTTAACAATACAGTGAAATTCTTTAAAAAAAATCATAATAAAGAGTTATAATTTTTCAAACCTTAAATCCAAAACGAATTATGAATACATCCAATACATAATCATTAAACGTAAAAAGGGTGGTCGGTATTTCAAAAAGTACCTGCTTCTATCAAAGTAGTTGTTTTTAAACATATTGATCGAGCATTGTAAAATAGGAAAAAAATATAATAAAAGCGGTAGAAAGAACTGTAATTTTGCAAGCAATATTAAAAGAAAAACGCTTTTACACAATTTAATATAATTCATTTCCTTACTCCAGCCTGCACTGAACAATAGTATCCATTAATTTTATTTATAATTTAAAATTAATCAGAGTGAATAAGACTCTTTTGAATCAAACAATCATTTCAAAACAGAGGGAGTGGAAAATATATATATATAAAAAACTATTCGAAACATTAATTCGATATTTTTTTAAATAGATAATCATAAGAAAAAATTAGTGTTATTAGTACCAATTATTATTATTAACCATTATTTTTGACGTCAATAGCTGTGTTTTATGCTCACATTAATTGGCAGGTCAAGAATAGTATATCTTCAAAGGTGCGTGCTGTATAGCAATAAACTTACGACTAAATAGGCGGCTATTTCAATGGCGATATTACCATTCTATTCTCTGAATGAAATTAACATAATTAATTCTTTATGCTCCCATTTCAAGGTCTGAATTAGTAAGCACGATCCGTTATTTTAGAAAGCTATAAAAAGCTTTAAGGTATATGACGAACGCGTGAAAATTCAATAAATATCAAAGGAACCAATAGTTAGAATAAAAATTAATGTGTTTAGATCCCAGGCGATAATCTTTTTTGCAGGAAAACTATGTAGGTTATGTGAAAGAATTTCGTTTGCAGTTTTATTCAAATTTTAAATAACTACTACTTCAAGATGTAAAAGGCGGAAAGGATTGATTAAGTGGCCATTTTCAGAGGAAACAGTTTCTAAACTAAAAACCAATATACATACTTCAAACAGAATTTATCATACTTGTGTGTTTTTTTCTCCAAAATATTAAAGGTCGCATAGGTTGAAAACATTTCATAAAAACATAATATTGTACTTTTCTTCGCAAATATTTTTAATTTATTATTTCAGAACTGGGTAATGATGAACATTAATTATAAAGCAGCAGGAATTCTACCTGGTTGAAGTTCTTATAATGTAAGTAATGATATTTTGAAGGACAATAATATAATACGTTATAAATATTGAAAATTTTGGTTATTGATGTATAGTTGGCAAAAATTTTGAATAGTTTTTGGTCCATTAATTAGATTTTGGCGTACTCGTTGTTGTTGTCGTTTCTGATGCCATTCGCCAATACCTACATGGTGAATTTAAGGTAGAGGGTGCGTTTCTTGTTTTTCAGTGGCACCATCTATGTCCAAGAATACGACTTCAGCCACACACACACACGTCACAGCCCGTTTATAGAGCGGAAACATTCATGCACCCATTTCTTCAGCCACAGATCGTAATTTTGTCCTGAACCAGAGAGCGATCAATCTCCAACTCAGTACTCCCAGAGGTATAATTTTTTTTAAAATAGAAACATGGAAGACTTTATGACCCCACAGATTTAACGTGCACCAGTAAAAATTTACAACACAGGGAGTCTTCGGCCTTCGGGGATCGAACTCACGACCCTTGGACATGGGTCCAAATTTATACCAACCAGACTATCCCTACGTCTTCACTAACAAACTTATATTTTCAGGGATTAATTAATTTGTAAAACAAAAAAATAATATAAATAAATATCTACAATAATAAAAGATATTTATTTACATATACATAAAAAAATCATTGGGTACAACGGGGAGAAAGAGAAAAATGTATAATCTGAATTTTTTTTAATCTTATCAGACTTTATTGTAGAAACTTGCAATTTTAATAGTTCGTGAGGTGTACTTTAATTGTAACAATTAATTATTGCAGACTATAATTAAATTACGCAATCAGACGCAACACCAATCAGTCACTTACACCTATCAATAATTTTTATATGAAGGGATTCATTAAAGAAGAGTAATACAGTGGAATTAAAATGCGTTAATAGTGTGTACAAAACGTTAGTCTTTTGAAAACCGAAAAATATCATATTTTCCTTCAGAAATTTATTATGTTCCTTAAAATTTTGGAATAACTTATCAAAATGTTACTAGTAAAGTAAAGGAAAATATATTGATGTATGATTATTACTCCAACAATAAGTACTTGAAAAAAAAACTATTCTTTAAGTGGCTATTATTGATATTTTAGCTTTAAATTATAAATTTTTATATCTGAATATGATTGGGTGCATCAGTTAACTTTTGGGTAACTGCATCATCCTGCTAAAGTATGTAGTAAAAAGTATCTACTAATTTTCCTTTTTTTTTTTTTCTTCTTCTCTCTTTTTTTTCCTTCTTTTTGTGGAACAAGATAGGACAGATTTATTAATTTTTAGGTACCAAATTACCCTGCATAGTCAATGAAATGTGTTAACCTTTAATTTCAATTTTTTTAAATTTATGAATGAGATAGTTTAGTACTAAATAATGAACACTATCATAGTAAGCCTTGGAATGCATTAATAAAACTAACTTAGGGTTAGTGAATCATTCTGCTGCAGTAGTTAATAAATGCGTTTTCAGATTATTATTTTTCTTTTTTGGACAAGATAGAACACAATTATAAACTTCAAAAAAACAAATTATTCTAGTGGAACAATCGGTAAAATGTGCAAAATTTGAAAATAAATAAATAAATAAAAAAACGTTCTTCTCTGATAGGAGTAACAAATAGCGATTTTGGTGTTTTTGATGAAACGAATTCTCTTGTTACAGACACAATCAGTTACCAACGTCCATCAAGTCACGTCAACACATTTGTAGACGAACACTTAAGTCGTTCGATATTATTTGTAATAGTTACTAATATCCTTCGTTTTCATAACATAAATGCCTTCCCTACCCAATTCTTTACTACTCTGGAATCATTCATTTTTCGCTCCACAAGAAAGTGACATCGTTTTTCTTTTCGGAAACAAGGACGCACTTGTTGATTGATGAAGACTCGATCGATAAAGATATTCGAAAGTGAATCTGAAGACCATACTCTCAACAGGTGGGTGCAATCAATATCTGTACATCTTAGTATCCATGGGAGATTATTCTTAAAAGGCTAATTGCTAGTACATTTGAAATCATGTACGTGTGTTAATATTCTATATAATCTCCCGAGGAAAATTCTATTTTCCTGATTTATTGAGGTATCTTGAAATAGTCTATTATATCATTTTTTAAAATTATAGTTTATTTCATAAAATTGCAATATGCGTTATAAAATTACATTACAACTATACAATGCTTACAACTATACATCGATCAATCAATTACAACTATACAATACTAGTCTATATGTAAAAAAAAGGAATGTCTGCCTGTTTGTGTGTGAATATATGGGTCCTTTATAGACTCCTAAACCATCCAACCGAAATCGATGAAACTTGGCATACAGATACTAGTTTGAAGTACGAGGAAGGTCACTGTCGACATTAGAACATTCTACGACGAACCGTTCGAGCGCGATGAGCGAAAAACAAAATCAAATTTTCTGATTGGCTAAACGTTTGTGATTGTTTTAAATTTAACTACAGACAATCTGATTTTTCCCTAATTTTAAAGATAACTTTAGT